TCCATAGATAAGGCGCTACACATGAAATAACCAAGAAAGACTACAGCCACATCTCTTGGAAGATTGGGTAGAGTTAACTCTGCCATGGTAAAACTACAAGCTGACTGGTGAATGTGAGAACAAAGACAGCTTAGTCTAATTGCCAGCAGTTGAGTTAACTGCAGCATCAGAGGGTAGTAATGCTGGCCAAATGACTGACAGATAGCAACTCAGTCAAAGCTTAAGTTGGAAATGAACAGAGAGGCTTTAAATACCCCTAACTGGATGGGCAGTGCAGGAGCCACACACAACCATCTTCCTGGTTGGGCCAGGGGGACATGCATAGTGTGGGCTCTTCATCAGCTTGACCTATGATATCACAGAAATTAACCAGTCTTTTTTTAAAAGATCTATCTATCTATCTATCTATCTATCTATCTATCTAGATATCTGTCTGTCTGTTATGTATACATAGTGTATGCATGCCTGCACACTACATCAGAAGAGTGCACCAGATCTCATTACAGATGGTTGTGAGCCACCATGTGGTTCCTGGGAATTGAACTCAGGACCTCTGGAAGAACAGCCAGTGCTCTTAACCTCTGAGCCATCTCTCCAGTCCAGAAATTAACCAGTCTTAACAGAGATTACTTCGGCTGTGTCCAGTTTCTGCTATTACTCTATAAAAGCCCTGGATGGAACTGGAGAGATGGCTCAGTGGTTAAGAACACTGGCTGCTCTTCCAGAGGACCCAAGTTTGATTCCCAGCCCTCATGTTGATGGCTCACAACCTCTTGTGACTCCAGCTCCATGAGATCCTATATTCTTTTCTGGCTTCTACTGAGTTGGCACACAAATGGCATACACACAAACATATACACACTAAATAATATTTATTTCTTTTTAAAAAGTAATTTTTTTTACTTTATGTGTATTGGTGTTTTGCCTGCTGTGTGTGAGGGTGAGGGTGTGTGAGGTGTCAGATCTCGCAGTTGCAGACAGTTATGAACTGCCATGTGGTTGTTGGGAATTGAACTCAGGACCTCTGGAAGAGCAGTCAGTGCTCTTAACCACTGATTCATCTCTCCAGTCTGTAGCAGGTTTTTTTTTCTTTTGAGCCACCAACCAGCTCCCAAATCATGACATCTTATTTTAATTTTTCTCTTTATCTACAGTTTGCTTTTTTACCTTTCTCTCTTTCTGTATGTCTGACTTTCCTGCTGTCTCCATGTCTGACTGACAGCTGCCTGGCCTCTGGCCTCAGGCATGTTCCTCTCTTTCTCCTCCCCACCCTCTTCTCTTCCCTCTTGAGCCTAGATTTCTCCTCTTCCTTAGTCTCTCTGCCCACCAGCCCTGCCTATTCTTTCTCTGCCTAGCTATTGAACATTCAGCTAAGCCAATCAGGTGCCTTAGGCAGGCAAGGTGAAACAGCAACACATCTTTACATAATTAAACAAGTACAGCATAAACAAATGTAACACATCTTTATATCATTAACAAAGGCAGCATAAACAAATATAACACACCTTCACATAGTTAAAGTAATATTCCATAAATTAAACAAATGTAACATATCTTTGCCTAGTTAAAAAAATATTCCACAACACCAGCCCCTAAATAATATTTCTTTTTTTTTTTTTTTTTTTTTTTTTTTGGTTTTTTCGAGACAGGGTTTCTCTTTGTAGCTTTAGAGACTGTCCTGGATCTCACTTTGTAGACCAGGCTGGACTCGAACTCACAAAGATTCACCTGGCTCTGCCTCCCGAGTGCTGGGATTAAAGGCGTGCGCCACCACCACCGCCCCAAATAATATTTCTTAAAAAAAAAAAAAAAAAAGGCCGGGCGGTGGTGGCGCACGCCTTTAATCCCAGCACTCGGGAGGCAGAGCCAGGCGGATCTCTGTGAGTTCAAGGCCAGCCTGGTCTCCAAAGCGAGTTCCAGGAAAGGCGCAAAGCTACACAGAGAAACCCTGTCTCGAAAAACCAAAAAAAAAAAAAAGCCCTGGACAAAGGAAGTTCGATGGCCTTTTCCCCCTTGGATGCCCCTCCCAATTTTTTTCCTCTTTTCTTCATTTTCTCTTTCTCCTTCCCTCTCTCTTTCTCCCTCCCTCTCCCTCTTTCTTTTTGAGACAGGGTCTCTCTATGTAGTCCTGGCTGTCCTGGATCTCTCTATGTAGATCAGGATGGCCTTGAGCTCACAAAGGTCCACCTGCCTCTGCCTCATAAATACTGGGATCAAAGGTGTGTGCCACTATGCCTATCTCTCCTCAATTTCTTACTTTTCTGCAATAATTCTTCTTGTAAAAATTATTTTATGTAAATTAGTGTTTTACCTACATATATGCATATGCACTATGTGTGTGTCTGGTGCCCTACGAGGCCAGAGGTGGACATCAGATCCCTTGGAACAGGAATTACAAACAGTTGTGAGACACCATGTGGGTTTTAGTGAGGGCTCACTTCCTTTTCACATTTTATATTCGCACAGTAGTCTATATAGGGATAAAGAGAGCACGTGTGTGGGCTCTCAGTATCTCTTCTGATAAGGATACTAATTTACTGGTCAGGGTCTCACCCTAAAGACTGATCTAATTACTTCCTTGGGGACCTAACTCCAAATACTGCTACTCTGTGGATTAGGGCTTCAATAAATTAATTTTTGTTTGCTTTTTGAGACTGGGTTCTACTATGTAGCTCAGAATTCATGATCCTCCTGTCTCAGCCTCCTGGGTGTTGGAGGTATAGGTACATGACACCATGCCCAGCTTTCAATATATGAATTTCAGTGGGTTCTTAAAAAACATGATCTCTGGAACTGGAGAGATGGCTCAGCTGTTAAGAGCACTGACTGCTCTTCCAGAGGACTCGGGTTCAATTCCCAGCACCCACATGATAGCTCACAACTGTCTGTAACCCCAAGATCTGACACCCTCACACAGACATACATGCAGGGAAAACACTAATGCACATAAAATAGAATAAACAGATAAAAAAAACCCCACCATGATCTCATGTATTCTAGGCTGGCCTCAGGCTCACTATGTAACCAAGGATGACCTTGAACTTTTTATCCTCTTGCCTCCGCATCTGAATGTTGGGATTCTAGGGTGTATGTGGCGATAGCTATTGAACTCAGGGCTTTGTGAATGCTGGGCAAGCACTCTACCAACTAAGCTATGTCCCCAGCTCTGCAACATATGCATTTTAAAGGGACACAACTGGTCCATAGCATCCACTGTCCAACTAGAATCCAAACTCTGTGAGAGAAGAAACTTCTGCTCTATTCCTGCTGAATTCCCAGGGTTTAGTGTAGTGCGACATGGAGTGGGTATTTAAGTGAATAAATATGTCCAGCTTCCCTTACGATGGCCTTTAGCTCTTTCTAATCAGATGAAACAGTTTTGCTCCTCTGTTTTTGGGCGCTGAGCCTTGAACATGGTGGCCATTTTTGTGAGGGATGTGCTTTCTGAAAAAGTGATAGTTACGTTGTATGACTCAGATTAAATGTTTCATTTTCTGCAATTCCTTCCAAGATAGAGTTGATTCTTCCCTCTCCCCGAATTACAACTATCTTTTGTGTCTGCCGGTCTAACTGGCAGATTGGGAATTATGTGAAAGTATAATTTGTTTATGGCTCATCTTTGTATACTGATGAAGTGTTATTTATCGAACTGTTCAAATATAAGAAACTGTCTTGAGATGATCAATTTTCTGATACTAAATATTCCTAAGGGGTGAGATGTCATCCTGTCTGCAAATCAACAAATCAGTTTGGAAGGGTTATCCTTACATTCATAACCAGAAAAACAGACCGCTGGTTGAGGACAGACTGTCTGACCAGTTTCCAGCACCCAAACCCCGCATTGTTGGGTGAGGATTTGAGATGGTGAAATCAGAGACGTTTATATGAGGGACAAGGACTTCTGGGGTGTGGGAGAGAAAGGGAGAGTATAAGAAAATGGCTGGGGGTTTTTATGGCCTTTGGCTCTTGAAAGCTGGGTATCAAACGACCCTCTCACAGGGGTCACCTAAGACCATCAGAAAACACAGATGTTTACATTACGATTCATAACAGTATCAAAAGTACAGTTATGAAGTAGCAATGAAAATAATTGTATGGTTGGGGCTCAGCATAACATGCAGAACTGTATTAAAGGGTCTCAGTGTTAGGAAGGTTGAGAACCACCAGTTTGGAGGATCAGTTAGTCCATGACTATTCATGGTAGGGAGTGTGGCAGCTGGCAGGGCCCAATAGGTAAGGGCTCACGTCTTGATCCCAAAGCACAAGGCAGAGAGCTAAGTGGGAATGGCCCAGGCTTTTGAAACCTCAAAGCTTACCCCCCCACACACACCCTCTGTAACACACCTCCTCCAACAAGGCCACACCTCCTCCAACAAGGCCACACCTCCTCCAACAAGGCCACACCTCCTCCAACAAGGCCACACCTCCTCCAACAAGGCCACACCTCCTCCAACAAGGCCACACCTCCTCCAACAAGGCCACACCTCCTAATCCTTTGCACAGTTTCACCACTGGGGATCAAGTATTCAATCATAAGAGCCTGTGGGGGGGCCAAGCTCATTCAAACCACAACAATTACCATTCAATTTTTCTTTAACCCAAGTGCCAGTAATCTGTTCAGAAAGTCCTCACTACACATTCATTGTCTCCCATAGCTCTAGCCTGAGAACACTTTTCTGTTCCTTCCGACCCCGCAGTTCTTTCCTTGAGAGGAGGGAGGATTTCTAGGGAACTGGAGAAAGTCTAAGAATGAATTCCTCATCTAGTACTGAGCCTGACGGGTAACAGATACTCAGAAAAGATCTGTGGAGTGAATGACATGGACTCATGGTTCATGATTGTTTAAACTGGGTGTCAGGCACATCCTTTAACCACAGCACTCGGGAGACAGAGGCAGGCAGATCTCTGTGAGTTTGAGGTCAGCCAGGGCTATATAGCCGGATTGTCTCAAAAAACAAACAACAACAACAAAACCCAACCAATCAAACAAAACCAACACATTATTTTAAAAATATTTATTTTGTGAACACATTTGTATACACACACACACACACACACACACATACAAAACACAACTGTATCACACAGCGCGTGTGTGGAGGTCAGATAGACAACTTTCAGGAGTGAGTTCATTCCCTCCGTGTGGATGCTGAGGATCAAAATCAGGTGTCAAACTTGGTGGCCTTTACCCACTGAGCCACCTAAGACTGTCTTTTTTCCCTTACATCGTGGTTTAAGATTTTAATAATTGTAAGGCAGAGGATTGGTTGGTCAAGAAGTTCTGATCATTCTGACCGGACCCTCAGAAGCCAGAACAATGCAATTGTTCCTTTTTCTCCCTTTGGCATTAGGTAAAAAGGCTGACTCCTTGGAGCACAGCCAGAGTTCCTGACACGCACACTGCCAGGGACGAACGCACTGGGGCTGTGACTACACCAGAGTTGTACTCCTCCGAGTGGGGTTCAGGGGTCAAAAAGAGATTTCCTTTAAGTGACAATTTATCCACCTTGGGCAGTTCATCTGGCCTAGGTTTCCTATCCAGCCTGTTGTGACTGAGATCAAGTACCCTGAGCACGGCTGGCAGTCCCTTCGGCACCTGCTCCAGTTCAGTGAAAGACAGATTGAGCGAGTTTAGCTTGCTAGGCCAGTCACATCCGGGAGAGCCTGCAGTATCCCGCAGTGAATTGTGACTAAGGTCCAGTTCTTCCAGCTGCACACTTGCTGCGGCCAGCGCAGAGCACACGCCGCTGGGCGTCTCCATCCCTGTGTTGCGCAGCGCTAAAACTTGGAGGGCCGGGAACTTGCTCGGACACAGAGCCGAGATCAGCCCTCTCTCGCCCAGTTCGGGGTTGTCAGACAGGTCTAAGGTGGCAAGGGCGGGGAAGACTCGGACCTGTTCGCAGGAAAAGTTGAGTGAGTGTGCCTGAGCAATACTCAATACCTGGAGTCCAGGCTTTAGCCACTGCTGCAGTTCTCCGAGCCAGGCATCCCCTGTCGCCCACGACACGTTGCGGAGGCTCAAGGTGTTGAGATCGGGTCCGGTGGCTTCCAGAAGCGGCGGCAGCGTGGTGCCGGTTACCTCGAGGTTTTCAAGAGTCAGTTCCTTGAGGCTGGAATACCCGAGCATACGCAGGACTCCGAATAGCATCAGAGCAGGAACCCGCGCGTCCCCCACGGTAAGCCGCTGCCAGGGCAGGGACCTGACCACATCTGCGTACTGCCGAAGGTCTGCTTCGGTGTCCACACGCTTTAGAAAGTGCTCCAGGCTGCGACCGCCGCCGTAGAACTCCACATCCACCGCCCCGGTACACAGAAAAGCGCTGGACCAATCCGGCTGCGGATCTGAGAAGTTGCAGACGCAGCGGACACTGTCCTCATCCAGCTCGCAGGGCTCTGGCGTGGCGGGAGAGGCATGCGCCAGCGTCAGGAGCAACAGCAACAAGCCAAGCTCACGTTCCTGAGGGAACAGCAGTGGTCAGGGAGACTCCAGCCAGTCCCTGGGGTTCCTCAGGTGGCCCCGGTTCCACCCCAAGACTCACCATGGTAGATAGATTCCGAGAGTTTCTACGGGCCCAGGCCGGCTCTGAAAACGGCTTCAGTTTCTTTCCTGTACAGCGATGTTCTCTGGCTTCCAGGTTCCACGCGCTTGTTTGCCCTCTTTGGCAGCCCCTGCGAGTTTATGTAATCGTGGGATGTCACCCTGTCCCCTCCACTGTGAACTCTGATCACTTCCCCACTTCTCTTCCTCCTAACAGCCCTGCTCACTTCTAGTAAATATTGCAATGAAGTATTTTACAGGGAGGTACCAAAACAGGAAGAATTCTTCATGGCATTAGGGCACTCGGTGCCAGGAGGATGACCTAAGCGCGTCGGTCTTGTCTGGTCCGTACAGGAAAAGGATGAGCTGCACCAGGGCTTTTAATCAGCACTCTACTGCCCAATCCCAGAGATTCAGCTCCATTTCCCCGTACTCTTAGTATCTAACAGTTTCGCTCCATCCACATCCAAGTCCTTGATTTTCCTCAAGAACGTGCCTGGACGTTTGTGGAAAGACTGTGAACTTACCTATGAATTCCGGAGGGAGAATGAATTCAAGGCTGAGAGCTAGCATGAAGAACAACCCTCTTTTCTTATTACCTTGTTTAAGCCACCATGCCCAGCTTGTTAATACTTTCCTTTGTCCTTCTTTTTTCTTTTTTTCTTAAAGACAGGGTTTCTCCGTGTAGCCCTGGCTGTTCTGGAACTCACTCTGTAGACCACTGCCCAGCTAATAATTAAAAAAAAAAAAAAAAAAAAAAAAAAGAGCTGGGCGGTGGTGGCGCACGGCTTTAATCCCAGCACTCGGGAGGCAAGGCAGGTGGATCTTTGTGAGTTCGAGGCCAGCCTGGTCTACAGAGCGAGATCTAGGAAAGGCGCAAAGCTACACAGAGAAACCCTGTCTCAGAAAAAAAAGGGGGGGGAGGAGCTAGGCTAATGGGGCATATCTTTAATCCCAGCACTCAGGAGGCAGAGGCAGGTGGATCTCTTTGGGTTCAAGTCCAGCCTGGTCTACAGAGTGAGTTCCAGGACAGCTAGGACTACGTAGAGAGACCTGTTTCAAAAAGAGAACAAAGCAAAATGTGGTATTTGATAGATATATTGGCCAAATCACATTGTCATGTACAACATCCCCCAAATTTGGAAGCAAGGTTGTTTTTTTTATTATTATTATTGTTATTATTGTTATTATTATTGTTATTGTTGTTGTTATTATTATTATTATTATTATTTTATAGCTATTACTATTTTGGAATGATTTCACTATACCCTGGCTGGTCTAGAACTCACTATGTAGATTCAACTGAACTCACACAGATCCATCTGCTTCTGCCTCCTGGGATTAAAACCACGTGTCAAGGGGTTGGGGATTTAGCTCAGTGGCAAGCGCAAGGCCCTGGGTTCATTCCTCAGCTCCGGGGCGGGGGGGGGGGGGGGGGGGGGGGGGGGGGGAAGAAAAGAAAAAAAAAAAAGAAAAAGAAAAAACCACGTGTCACCACAGCCAGAGACAACAAGGTGTTTTCTAAAGCAGTTTTCCCTGTAGGACACCCCAGATGTCCTTGCTTTTTTTCTTGTCTTGACCAAGAAATTCAGAGTGCCTTGATAGTCTGTCTTTGCTAGATGCCAGTTTTTTTCTGAACCCAAGCCAGGACCTTGAATGATCCTGGGCATTAACAAAGGTATTTAGGTTGTTAAAACACTGGAGGAGACTAGCCCCAGCCAACCCTTAAGCTTCCAACCCTTATACAAACTTCCCGTGACACAGACATATATGTAGGAGGAACATCTCTCTCTCTCTCATGGTCCATTTTGAGGATGTTGCAGCCCTTCTTGGTAGGTAAATTCTTCAATAAATGCTTTATATGGACCATCCTAGCATTTGGTGCTTCTTTCTTTGGACACCCAGTGACCCCCATCTCTAACGGTTTGGAGGCACTCTTTTGTGAAAACTCCCTTGCAGCTGCTTTTGGGGGGAACTCCAGCCTCCAATTTGGTCTGAAAGAAGCATTTTCCATTTGAATGTTGCTCTCTCTTTTTCTCTCCCAAGAACAATTCCAGTGAACTTAGAAGTTAGGGCTGTACTGTGTGGAATGAGAATTAGCTAGTATATCACATGTGTTTGTAGAGGAAAAGAAACAAGTGTCCCATAGGGGGAAGATTGCAACCATACAATTATAATATAATAGCCCTCACGGGTTTGTATCCCTAGACTTCTGGGGAGAGTCCTATTTGGGATTCATTGTGTGTGTGTGTGTTTAACTCTTCGCTCTTTAATCTTTGGGGGGCTCGCCACCCAGCTCCCAAATAAACACATGAAGAGTTATCTTTCTTATGAATACCCAGTCTTAACTTACTTGGTTTGTTTCTTGCCAGTTTTTCTTAAATTTTCTTAAATTTCTTAAATTATCCCATCTACCTTTTGTCTCTGGGCTTTTATCTTTCTCTGTTCTATATACCTTTCTTTGCTTCTTACTCCATGACTTGCTGAGGGTTAGCTCCGGCAGTTGACAGGTCCCAGAGAGGAGGTAAGGAGTCGGTGAGGAAAGGATGAGCCAGGAATGATGGTTAGGAGAATCTCGCAGCCTGACTGACTAGCAGCCAGAGTGTTTATTTATACAGAATTCGGTAAGCAAGGATAGATTTTTGTTGTTCCAAAACAAAGATCACACCATTTTTGGTTTTGGACATATGTTACACTTCCTCTTGCATATCTTTTCGTCATCATTAATAAACCGTGACAGAACAGAGTTATCTGTTACAATAATTTTCCCTCAAGTTTAATCATCATTGATAAACAGTTACCTTTTATAACCATTTTTACTCATTAACCCCATAACCCATTTTTTTTAAAGAATCTAGTGGCACACCAAAAAACAAACCAACAAAAACCCAGACACCCATACCTGGTAGTAGTGGTGGTGGTGCACGCCTTAAATCCCAGTACTCAGGAGGCAGAGGTAGGCAGATCTCTGTGAGTTCAAGGCCAGCATGGTCTACAAAGCAAGTTCCAGGACGGCTGGGCTGTTACACAGAGAAACCCTGTCTTAAAAAAAAAAAAAAGAACAGAATCTAGAGGCATATGACAGCCTATTCTTGGGCTACATCTGCTTTTGTGGTTTCAAGGACCCTAGACCAAAACAAAATCTCCTAGCCAGCTGGGCAGATTGCCATGTCCCAAGCAGTGTATTATTAACTCTTAATGGTCAGAGTGACCAAGTTGCTGCAGTTATTATTCAAATTCTGGCATAATATATCTTTATAGAATTTGTTTATATGTATAATCCTGGCAATCTGTTGTTCCTTGGTCATATGACATCACAGTGCCTCTGCATGTGCTAACTTTTTTAAGAAAGGGAGGTCCTGACATCTCATTCTTATATCATCTTTTTATATCATTCTTTGTTCATCAGTATAAGTCTCTGTGTAGGGCAGAGGTAACTTCAGCTAATCTCACTTTGTTGCTGTACATATCACATAATTGTCTGAGTGTATAGTGGGAAGAGGCTTGCAGTCTGATCTGTGGCCAACTCCTCTAGCCCACTGAATCTTGTTGACCTTTTTAAGTTTACTTCGTTTTGATTATCTTGTTCCTGAGTAAGTACAGGGACAGATGTTTCAAGAATATCTCATAGCCTCAGAAAGAGACCTCTGGCTTCTTTATGTGTGTCACAACAACCTCCAAGGCATAAGGAAGATCTTCAAGTAGATAAGGATATCTCCCTAAAAGCAGGAGGGGTAGTATGTTCAGGATTTTCCTGGGGAAGCTTAGAAGCAGTACTCTTGGGAGAAGGCATAAATTATTTCTAAGAATTTTTCCATCAGTCCAGTATCCCCAAATTGTACAAATACTAAAAGTCCCCCAAGTATGCAACAGGCAGAGATGAAAACCAAAAGTGGCCTGGCGGCCATCATGCAGCTCAGCTTTGCTGGATCTTTGTCAAGCAGCTGGGCTGGCTTTAGGACTTTTGCCACTCCATTCAGATATGGCTGTGCCATATCCCCCTTTTTTGTTAACTCAAGAGTCTGTAGATATTATTGTGTGGCACGTAGGGCATTTTTCAGTCCTTGGAAGATGACTGGGAAGGACAAGGATGAAATAAACATAACTCTCAGGATCACTCCCAAATTAATGATCCTAGACCAAAAGCTCTGTCCTGAGACAAAAGAAGTGAGAGATCCTAAGAAGCTATATGTAAGCTCAGAAGCTGAGGTGGACTCCAGTTGAGCTGAACTAATGGCTGAAATTTGTCAATGCAAAGACTGCATGTTTATAGCTAGTTCAGATTGTTCCACAGACCATGGAGGTGGGACCTAACCTGTGTCCAGGTTACCTTAGAAGCATTCTGTGGAAGTGGAGTGACACAAATCCATTTCAACTGTGAATGTCAGAAAGCAATCTAACTTCTAATGTTTTGAATTTGATTACCTATAAATAAAACTGCTTCTTCTAAAGTGTTTACCATATCTTCTAGATATTTATTAATTGTTTCAGTTTTGTGTTTTGTTTTTTTCTTTTTGTGATAAGTGTCAGGCAGGGATACATTTTTTTTTTCCTTTGAGAGAGGGTTTCTTTGTGTAGCTTTGGAGCCTGTCCTAGAACTTGCTCTGTATACCAGTCTGGCCTTGAACTCATAGAGATCCGTTTGGCTCTGCCTCCCAAGTGCTGGGATTAAAGGCATGAGCCACCACCGCCCAGCTTTTTTTGTTTGTTTGTTTGTTTTGTTTTTGAGACAGGTTTTCTCTGTGTAGTTTTGGTGACTGTCCTGGATCTTGCTCTGTAGACTAGGCTGGCCTCAAACTCACAGAGATCAGCCTGGCTCTACCTCTGGAGTGCTGGGATTAAACACGCCGCCCAGCTAGGGACACATTTTTTGAGAGTTAAACAAATGCAACATAAAAAAAAATGTACATGTCTTTGCATCATAAAACAAATGTTCCACAGCATAAATAAATGTAACACATCTTCAACTAATATTCGATAATGTGTATTTGTGTGTGTGTGTGTGTATAGCACAAATCCTAATTGGTCTCAATAAAATTTCAGAACCAGATATCAGGGTAATTCTGAAAGATCAGAGAGATAAAGGAATAAGCCACAACCACCTCTCACCTCACCAACTCCTCAGTGGAAAGGAGACCTGAGCTTGTCTCCTCCCACCTTACATTCCTCTCTCTGCCCAGCCATATAGCTTCCTCTCTCCACCTCCCTATTGCTGGGATTAAATGTGTGTGAGATCCCAAGAGCTGGGATTAAAGGTGTGTGCCACCACTGCTTGGCTCCGTTTCTCTTTTAGACTGAAACAATCTCGTGTAGCCCAGAGTGGCCTTGAACTCACAGAGATCCGTCTGCCTCTGCCTCCTGAGTGCTGGGATTAAAAGGTGTGTACCACCACTGCCTGGCCTCTATGACTCACTAGTGGCTTAGCTCCACACTCTGATCTTCAGGCAAGCTTTATTTGTTAAAGCACAAAGTATCACCGTGTGTGTGTGTGTGTGTGTGTGTGTGTGTGTGTGTGTGTGTGTGTGTGAAGCTTTATTTGTTAAAGCACAAAGTATCACCGTGTGTGTGTGTGTGTGTGTGTGTGTGTGTGTGTGTGTGTGTGTGTGTAGGGGGAGGGTGCATGCTCTTATGGAGACCAGAGGTTGACACTAATGTCTTCATCTATCACTTTTTTTCCCCCCCTCAAAACAGGGTTTCTCTGTATAGCTCTGACTGTCATGGAACTAGCTATCTAGACCCGGCTGTCCTCAAACTCACAGAGATCTGTCTGCCTCTACTTCCTGAGTGCTGGGATTAAAGATGTGTGCCACCATACCTGGTGAAAATATTTTATTTTTACTGGTGTTAATTGATGAGTGACGGCGTGTCTTCTCTCAATCCAAACAAGGAAACCTCAGACATACTGCCTATTGTATATCCCATTGAGCATTCCCTATATGAACCATGCCCCAAATCCAGACCAGGTCACTGCCTTCCCTGATGACCTTCACTAAACATAGCTGATTATACACATAATCAAGAGCTAGGAATGGGATCCAAACTCTACTGTTGAGGTTATGAGACTTGGGCAAGTTTCTTTTCTGTTTGTTTGTTTGTTTTGCTTTTTTGAGACAGGTTTTCTGTGTGTAACAGTCCTGCCTGTCCTGGAACTTGATTTGTAGACCAGGCTGGGCTCAAATTCTCTGAGATCTGCCTGCCTTTGCCTCCTGAATGCTAGGATTAAAGGCGTGCGACTCCACCACCACCTGACCACCCAGCCTGACCCTGACTTGGGCAAGTTTCTTGACCTCATATATTTGGGCCTTTCTCTCTCTCTCTCTCTCTCTCTCTCTCTCTCTCTCTCTCTCTCTCTCTCTCTCTCTCTGTATGTGTGTGCTTGTGGAGGCCAGAGGTTTATTGTCCAATTTGTCTTCTACTGCTTTCCATTTTATTTGTCTAAAACAAGGTCTCTGATTGAACATGCATGGAACTCACCATTTTGGCTAGGTTGGTGGGTCCTGAGATCCTCCTGTCTCTGCCTCTGTCCCAGGGTTGCCTCGCTTACAGGTGTTCCAGTTGTCCGGCTAACTCCAGCGATGAGGACCCAAACTCAGGTCTGTAGCCGGTCTTTCTCTGGACTGCCAGCTCCAGAATGATGACACGGGGAGGTTTTATTCACTATGAAAGCTTGGCCTCCGCTTAGGTGTGCTCCCAACTAGCTCTTAGAACTTAAGTTACCCCATTTATATTAATCCACACCTTACCATGTGGCTCCTTACCTCTCCTCAGTACTAGACATCTGACTTCCTCCATGTCTGGCTGGCAAATCCCCTCTCCTCCCATTCTTTTTCACCAGTTCCTGTCTCTCCCTGGAAGTCCTGCCTATCCTCTCCTGCCTAGCTATTGGCCATTCAGCTCTTTATTAAACCAAGCAGAAGGTGCCTTAGGAGGTGAGTCAGGACAGAGACACATCTTCACACAGTGTACAAAAAGATTATCCCAACACAGGTCCTCATGTTGATTCCCTAACCAGGTCCTACTTTAAAAGCCAAGGTGATGGTAGTACAGTGCACGGGGCTGGTTCTTGCAGAATTAGCAGTGTTGTCAGACAGATGGATGCAGAAGGCAGTTTGGGCAGAGGTAGCTGTCTGAGTAGGCACTTCAGGCAGGACACAGCTTTGCCACCATCTCATCTTCTCAACCAGGAGTTCGATGTGAATTTAAGAGGCTATCTTGGGGCCAACACGGTTTAGTGCTTGCCACAAAAGCCTAATGTCTGAGTTCAATCACCAGAAATGACATAAAGGAGAGAACCAACCCCATGAACATGTCCTCTTACTCCACACGTGTGCAATGGCATGCACATACCTCCTCCCCACCAGTTCAAAGGAGGAGGAGAAGCTGCCACTGCCACTGATGCCACCTTGTTGCAAGACGAAGGGGTCAAGACACTGGCTCCATCACCACAGGATGGTACATAATAGGTGCTCAGTAAATGATTGTCCAGGGGCTGGAAGGATACTGGGTTTGCGAGATGGTGGTAGAGGATGCTAAATATCTGTAGACGTTTAACTGACTGTTTTGTGGTAGAGATTGCAGACTTCATTGGCTGACTACAAAGGGTAGAAAAAATCCAGGGGGAGGAAGCTGATGTGTAAAACAATTCATGGAGAGATGCCTCCATAGCTAAAAGCATTTGCTCTCAATCTGGGTTGGGTTCACCATGCCTACATGGCAGCTTAAAACCACCTGCAACTCCAGTTCCAGGGGATCTAGCACCCTCTTCTGGCCTCTATGGGCAATAGACATGTGGTGTACATACATATATACACATGGCCAAAACAGTCACACATATAAAATAAAAATAAATCTTTAAACAAAAAAGAACAATCCCCTTTCTTCATTTGTATTGTTACTGAACTTGGGGCCATACAAAGGAGACATATTTGGTGTGACCACATTGGGAAGAGGAACAAAGAGATACAGTGATCCCCCACCCCTCAACACACACTTCCCATCTATCTTCAGGATCCTGAAGTGAGGTTGAAGTTTATGTAGAGGACCAGGGCTATGTATATCTAAGCAGTTCCCTAGTCAAGTGGTCCTGCCTATCATCATCTGGGCCCCAATCTCCCCAGCAAGTGGTCCGACAAGTCTTCAGCACTATGTGAAATCACTTTTTCTAGAAGACGAGGTCTTCCTCTGGCCAGCACCAGGCATTACTTAGCCTTTTTCTTTTCACAGCACAGAATTCCTGGAACTTTTTTCTGCATGGCAAGTTCCTCCTTTACCTTGCATGAGGGTTCCTCTCTTCCCGGCATGAGATTTCTGAGAAAATTCCAGTTCCTCGGGGTTCATTATTTCAATAGTCTGAGAGTCAAAATAAGAGACACAAGTGTCTCTTCAAAAGTCCTTCATTACTGCCAAAGTGTCATTATGACAGCACTTTGCCTAAGCTAAGTGGCAGCTTCCTAAAACTTAGAGGCACCAAGGAAAATTCTCATGTCCCTAGAATACTGATTCTCTTGGAGCTGGGAAGGGAGTCTGAGAGGAAAAACAGCAACTGATTATACTATGACTGAGGGACAGCTGTGAAAGGGTCGGTGAAAGGAAAAACACAAGGAAACACGTGACTTTCCAACAGAACAGGTTTAACTTGAGAAAATATGAGGAAGAGGGGTCTCTAGATGGGGAAAACCAGAGCTGACCACTTACAGACTAAGGAGAAAGTAGGAGGAAGCGAGGGAGAATGGGAGTGTCTTAGTTAGGGTTCCATTGCTGTGATAAAACACCATGACCCAAAAGCAACTTGGGAAGAAAAGATTTTATTTCATCTTACACTTCCAGGTGACAACTGAGGGCAGGAAGTTAAAGCAGGAACTGATGTAGAGACCATGGAGTTGTACTGCTTACTGGCTTGCTCCTCATGACTTGCTCAGCCTGCTTTCTTATAGAACCCAGGACTACCAGCCTGAGGTGGCCCCATCCACAATGGGCTGGGTCCTCCCTCATCAATCACTAATTAAGAAGACGTCCTACATGCTTGCCTAGAGCCTGATCTTATGGAGACATTTTCTCGTTTGTGGTTCCTTCCTCTCAGATGACTATACCTTATGTCAAGTTGACATAAAACTATCCAGCACAGCAACTTATCATAGAATAAATAGTTTATTTGGGACTTACAGTTCAGAAGCAGTAAGAATCCATCGTCATGAGTCCATCATAGTGGAGAAGTATGCATGATGGAGAAGTAGGCAGGCATGGGGTGACAGGAACCGGAGAGTTTATATCTCAAGCTGCAAATATCACGCAGAGAGAGAAAGGTGCAAAGCCTGCCTCCAGTAACATATTTTCTTTAGCAAGTCCATACCTCCTAAACTTACTTAAACAGCACCAAATAGAGACTAAGTATTTAAATACACAAGACTATGGGGACATCTCTTTTAAACTACCACATCATGTTTAACACACCATATGTAAGAGGGCTAATGGTCTACTGGTCTGGAATATGTGACATTGGAGTTGGAGTTGAGGGTTTGTTGAGAGTCTTGCTATATAGTCCAGCCTCAAACTTATGGCACACCTCCTTCCTCAGCCTCCTGAAACCACGTCTGGCCTGGAGTTGGGACCTTGAGGTTGATGTTTGGGAAAGTGCAGGCAATGGGCAGAGTTCCAGGCAGAGGGAACAACCCGTGCCTTAGCTCAGGGGGTGAAGGAAACACTGCTCATTCAAGAGACAAACTGAAGGTCCCTGGGATCGGTAAGGTGAAGTGCCCTTACAGTCCAGACTAGAGAAGAGAGTTACAGTCACACCATACATTACCTAGTTGGCCACAATTTGGATTTTGAGTTGTGAGGAACTTACCTCACCCATTACCTAGTAGAGTGATGACATTCAAAATTTGTTGAATTATTTTATCTTAAAAAAAAACAGCAAAAAAAAATTAGCTGGGCAGTGGTGGCACATGCCTTTAATCCCAGCACTCGGGAGTCAGAGGCAGGCAGATCTCTGTGAGTTCGAGGCCAGCCTGGTCTACAAAGGGAGTTCCAGGACACCCGGAGGCTGGAGCTACACACAAAGAAACCCTGTCTGGAAAAACAAAAAACAAAAAACAAACAAACCAAAAAAAGGGACATGAGGTGATTAAAATCCCAATCTCATCCATAAAATGGGAATAATGGTTCTTGTGGATCATCCAGTGGAGCATTATTGTTGTTGCTGTTTGTTTGTGTTTGGTTTTTCAAGACAGGGTTTCTTTGCGTAGCCCTGGCTGTCCAGGAGCTCACTCTGTGGTCCAGGATGGCCTCGAATTTAGAGATCTGCCTACCTTTGTTGTTGTTTGTTTGTCTGTTTGTTTGTTTTTGTTTTTTCAAGAGGATCCCTCTGGATGGCCTGGAACTCGCTATGTGGGCCAGGGTAGCCTCAAACTCACAGAAAATCCCCGCCTCTGGGATTAAAGGCATGCGCCACCATGCCAGGCAAGATTTATTTTTATGGTATGTCTAGTATGCCTGCATGAGTTTATGTGCATCATATACTATAGGAAGTGGAGTTACAGGTATCAAGCTGTGAGCTGCCAGAGGCTAGTGCTGGAAATTGAACCCAGGCACTCTGGAAGAGTAGTAAATGTTCTTAAAGCCGGCTCTGAAACCCTCAATGGGATATTATGCTTCAAGCATTTAGGAAGTGCCCAATCAGTGGAAGCCGAGTAATTGGTGAAACCGGCTGTTATACTGAGCGTGGATGGCACGGGAGTAAGTTGTGTTTGCTGAGCGGAGGGTGACACACCGCGGACCTATGGAGTCGAAGGTCCAGATCTCTTTCCTGAGCTGGAGTGCAGAGACAACAGAGTCTGAGCGACAGCTATGGAATTCCAGCTTGATCACGCCCCTCGCGTCATCGCACCGCCCTTGCCCCGCCCTCACGCACGCACGGAGTCCCGCCCCTCACGTACAGCCCCGCCCCTCACTCCGTCAGAGTGTGGATTCCGTGGGCCTTGGCGTTCTGTTTGGCGCCGGCGCGGTTCTAGCTTTCCCCGGCAGAGCTGTTGCTGCTGAGCTCTTGAATTTCCCTCCCTTGTGCGATGTGGAGTCGGCGGCAAAGCCGTCTAAAGACTCTGGCGTGCGGGGTGGAGGAGCTGCGGTGCCGCCGGCGGGAGCGGGAGGCAGGTGCGAACGGATGAGGGAGCTTGGGGGGCGAGGGCGGGGGAAAGTGGGTGTTGCCGTTGGGAGTCGGGAAAGGAGACCCCTAGCTCTGAGTCGAGTGTCTGCTGCCTGGCTTCCTCTCCTCAACTGAGCCATTCCTCTGCCCCCAGCCCTGCGGAAGGCGCGGAGGGAGCAGCAGTTGGTCAGCAAGAGGCTGCTAAGGGAAGATGCTCCGGAAGAAGCCGGAGGTCAGAGTGCAGCCGTGCTCCTTGGGGAAGCCGAGGTGAGCGAGCGGGATGACCCAAACCTGAATGCCAGCTACTGGGTCCGCTGGATCAAGCCGGAGGCAGAATTAATTACCCTGTACAATTCACTGTCTTTCATTAATCCACCATCAAATCAAATCTTTGCTTTTTTTTTAAACCTGATAAAGATTTCCGGAGTCTACGTGCCTCTCTTTCGTAGGTGTCTTCACCATTCAGATACTACAGTATCTTCCTAAAAGGGTCTGCATTTGCCACCCTGATTCGTGTTTTTAGAAACACAAACCAACATCCTCCCAGTGACCTACTAAAAACTAAGCATAGTCTAACCTCTTTCTGACTTAACAGTTACTCAATCCAACCACTGTCATTTTCAGTTCCTGGAACATATACCAGCTGCTTTCCGGTCTCAGGGGCTTTGCTTTTACTACATCCGAAGTTTGTTTTGTTTTCTTAGTGTCACAAACTGGCAACTCTCCTGCCATTGCTCAGGTACTAGAATTACTGGTATGCACCACCACATCGAGCTCTCCAAACTAGACTTAACTAGACCCTGTTCTGTCTTCAGTTACAAACTCAGGAGCAGTCTGTAGCCCCTCAGTAGAGTGCTTGCCTAGTATGCTTCAGGCCCTAGATTCAGACCTCCGAAATGAAGGGATGGTGGTGACATGAGGCAGGTGTGGTGTGTCCCACCTGTAATCCCAGCACTTAGAGGGTTGAGGCAGAAGGAACCTGAGTCTTTTGTCAATTTCGGCTGTATACCAAGACCCTGTAAAAAAGGAAAATAAAGAATTCAGACACCTGCACAATATCTGGAATAAAGATGTCATTGCTCTTTTGTTTTTTGTTTGACAGGGTCTCTTGTATCCCAGGGTGTACTCAAACTCTTAAGCTGAGGATGATCTTGAACCTTGATCCTCTTGCCTCCACATCCTAAGTGCTAGGCTTATAGTTGTTCACCACCACACCTGTTTTATGGGGTGCTGGGAATCTAAATCCAGGAATTTGAATGAGCTGGGCAAGCCTTTACAAACTGCACTTCATCCCCAGCACAGATTTACTGAATGAGTAAATGAAAGTGTCTATGCATTTAGCAGGCATTGCTATGTCTTGTTTTAGTAGTATCTGTGCTTATATATTACTTCTATAGAGCAGTTGCTCCTAAGGTATGACACTTATTAATTGTATGCGTCCCTTAAGCCAGGACATTGAGCATTGAGGCACACAAAGACTGACAAGATAGAGTTCAAAGTGTTCAAAGGCGGGGCTGGAGAGATGTCTCAGTGGTTTAGAAAACTGGCTGCCCTTGAAGAGGACCCAGGTTCTATTCCTAGCACCCACATAATGGCTCACAGCTGCCTGTAACTCCTGTTCCAGGAGATCTGATGCCCTCTTCTGACCACCACAGGGACCAGGCACACACATGGTAAACAGACATACATGCAAAGCAAAACATTCATACAATAAAAGTAAAATAAAAAGATACAATAATAATAATAATAAGTGTTCAAAGACCAATGAAGGAAACAGATTTCCTACCATTTTTTATCATGGGAGGAAACATGAGGCACAAGAGAAACTCATAAGTTTGTTGGGGGAAGCCAGAAGGTGTTAACTTTCCTGAGGCCATAAAGATCTGGGAGTCTGGAGTGTATTAGGCAGAGGTGATAGATGTGCATAAGCTTGGAAGTGTTAAACATGTTATTGTAGGAGTTGCTGGAGTGTAGTTTGCTTGGGAGGATAGCTGGAGGGAGGGAGGTTTGCAGATGGAGAGGTTTAATATTCTAGAAATAGCCCTATAAGAAGGCAGAGTAAGCTGGGCGATGGTGGGGCACATCTTGAGTTCAAGGCCAGCTTGGTCTACAGATTGAGTTCCAGGACAGCCAAGGCCACACAGAGAAAACGAGTCATGAAAAACCAAACCAAACAAACAAGGCAGAGAAGATATCATTCTTATTTTTTCAGATGAGGAAGCAGTTTCAGATTCTTTGGAAGTTAGCAGCAGGGCTAACCTGCCTGTCTAACCTGCCAAAAAGGTTTCTCCGTGTGGTTTTGGAGCCTGTCCTGGATCTCACTCTGTAGACCAGGCTGGCCTCGAACTCACAGAGATCCACCTGCTCTGCCTCCTGAGTGCTGGGATTAAAGGCATGCGCCACCACCGCCCGAGCTGTTTTTTTTTTTTTTTTTTTGAGATAGGAGATAGGGTCTCTCTCTATAGCTTCAGCTGTCCTGGAACTATGTAAATGAGGCTGGCCTCAAACTTGATAAGATCTCCCTGCCTTTGCTGAGATTGAAGGCTTGTGTCACCACACCAGGCCATATTGTTACCAATAACAAGTTCTGAGTAGTGATATTGTAGTGGTATTGAAGATGTCACAGATGAAGCTGATAGACTTAGGACTTGCTTCATGGCAATTACATGTCATCCTTTCCTTGTTTGGGGATTCAGGTACAGCAGTTCCTTCGGCTAGCCCAACGGGGAACAGATGAGAAGGAGAGGGAGAAGGCTCTGGTCAGCCTTCGTCGAGGCTTGCAGCACCCTGAAACCCAGCAAACCTTTATCAGGTCAGCATGGGTGGTGTGAGTGGTTGGCTGGGCTTTCCAGGGACAAGAGAGAGTGGAGGGGATAGACCACAGGCTTAGTAGGTTCTGGTGTCGTTCATGTAGGCTGGAGGGCAGCATGCGGACCCTTGTCGGGCTCCTGACCAGCAACCGGGCCCTGTTGCAGCTTGAGGCGGCTCGCTGCCTCCATGAGCTCTCTCATTCTGAGCAGCCTGCGGTGGCCGAGGCCTGCCTGCCAGCCACCTCCTACCTCCTCACCTACCTCTCTGCTCACAGCTCAGACTTCATAGTAAGGCCTGTCCCTTTCAACCGTGCTCTGGGCTTAGAGTTTCTATATGCCTTTGGGGCCAGCTCGAGCTGGCAGGTATAGGAAAAGAAAGAGCGGGGCACATACCCCCCATTTCTCTTTTCTTGTGAGCTTCAAGGACAGGGTCATGCTGTCCTTCTCCCTGGTGGGAGATGAGCCCAGCCCAGTGCTTTTGTTGCCTGCTCTCAGGAGCTGTGTCTGTATACACTGGGGAACCTCATCGTGGAGAGCGAGGCTGTGAGAAAGCAGCTCCTGGCACAGGGCCTTGTTCCGGCCTTGGCTGCCTGCATCCAGGTGAGTGCTTCCTTGGTCTCTCCCTAGCAAGCCTCCCCTAGCTCCTCTCCACATGTTCCACTGGCTTAGCAAGGTAGCTCCACTCTCTGCCATGGTCAAAGGGGTTAAAGTCTTCTGGGTCCTCAGACCCGTTTTCCAGTCACATTCCCTACGCTGTCTGTTTCTAGTCCCCCCATGTGGCTGTGCTGGAAGCCCTTGGATATGCCTTGTCCCAGCTTCTGCAGGCTGAGGAAGCTCCGGAGAAGATCATTCCGTGAGTAAAATGGTGTCTTCAGATACCTGGCCATGGTTGACCCTCTTGGTGGTGTAGCCCATGGTGCCTGATCAGATCTGATTTCCACATTTTCAACTCTTGTGTCTAGCTCTAGAGAATTTGGGGGTTTGGATTCTTTCTTGCTCTAAGTGTTTGAGAAGAGCCATTGGTCTCCCATGGTTCCTGCTCACAGCCTGCTTCTGCTGGCAGCTCTCTTCTGGACTCCAGTCTTCCCCAGCACATGCTACGACTCATGCAACCAGGCCCGAAGCTGAACCTTGGGGTTGCTGTGGAGTTTGCCTGGTGCCTTCACTACATCATTTGCAGGTAACAGGCCAACTGGGAAAATGTCTTTCCTGGTGCTTCCTACATATGACTTAAGTCTTTGGACTGAATTTAGTTTTTAGAATTGCTTTGGTGAGTTTTCATCCCTCTGGTGCTTTCTTTTGCTCAGGAAACCCAGACCTTAGTTGTTTTGTAGCTTAAACATAGACTTGATAGTGATTGCTTGCTATCTGTCGCCCAGCCAGGTCAACAATGCCATGCTTCTCACCCTTGGGGCTCTGTCCACATTGGCAATGCTGCTGTTGGACTTGGCTGGCGCTGTCCAGAGAATGGATGATGAGGGACTAGAGCTAGTAAGTAAAAAGGATCTGTGAGCCTTTCTTTACACGCTGCCCTCTTGTATCGGCTGCCTCTTCCCCCTTCCACCACACTCAACCTGTCTTTGCAGCTTGCATGCCCTGTGCTTCGGTGCCTAAGCAACCTGTTAACAGAAGTACCAGTGGAGGCCATGGGCGAGCAAATGGAGCTCAGAGACGAGCGAGTTTTGGCAGCCTTATTTATCCTTCTCCAGTTCTTCCTTCAGAAACAGCCCACCTTGCTGCCTGAGGGCCTCTGGCTCCTCAACAACCTCACTGGTACGTTATTAGAATCTGCACAGGCCTGGTCTTTTATCATCATTAAAATATTTATTAAAACCAAAGGAGGGGGTAGATTTGTTAGGAAACAAAGTGCAGACTGGAGGGAAAAGAAGAGAAAGGGGCTGGGCAAGGCGATTCAAATGCTGTAGGAGGAGCCCACACCTTTTGCCTCCCCTGTCAGTGAAGGTCTCCCATCTCATAAGCAGCTCGCAGGGTTCCTTAGCCCCTGAAAGGACTCCTGTGGCTGTTAGGCAATCTTTCCCTCCTCACCTTCCCAATAAACTGCCTGGGTCTTAGTTCCTTCAGGATGAAGTAAAAGCAATCTGAGGGATCCCTACCTCATGCTCAGAGTTACCTGCCCTACACCTCTTCCTCTTTTCCAACCTTAGCTTGTTCCCTAGAATTTCCAGAGATGCTCAGTAAACAAATAATACTCCATCAAATCTTCGGTCAGAAAAATCTTCCAGATGAAGTGCTCTCACTTCTTGCCGACCCACCCAGCCAAGGGTCTCCTCTTCTGAGCTAGTCATTCTGAAAATTCTGGGGCAGGTGGAAGGAACCTAGGCCTCATGGCTTCCTGGAACTAGGAGACTGAAAAATGTAGTAAGAGCTCCCCCATGTGGACACACAGTTTCTTGCTCATCTGTAGAACACACACATAAGTTCTGGGTGCCATGTATATACATGTTACAAACACAAAACTCTTTCATGGCATCCTTAGCCTCTTGGTAGCTAGACCTCAGAGCTTGAAACTACTGGAGACATGAAATAGGAATAAACTTTTCCAATTCAGCTGGGAGAAGAACCAAGGGCAGAGGACTTCAGCAACAGGATGGGTATCTTGGGAGGAGAGCCTGTCCCCATCACACCTCACCAGAGGTTTGGGGATGTTGGGTCTTCAAAGTTGTAGTAAGGAAGTATCTGATACTGTCATCCTCCTGGGGGCCAAATTTGTGGTCAGGGGACTTGTGGGATGGAGTGGAAGCGCAAGGAAGATGCTAAAGTCCTCTTGCACATGGCACATGCTCCAGGGACAGATTGGCAACCATCACAGTAGACATGTTTCTTGTCCTTGAAGGCCCACTGCCACCCATTTGGACAGCAGCAACACTTAGTTCAGACCGAGCAGGATCTGGACCTTTAGATGTAGAGGGTAGTTCCTCATGGCCTAGGCTGTAGCAGATTGGACTGTGAGGGTAGCAGTTCAGAACTACAGGTACTTCATATGACATTTTCCTTTTCAGCAAATAGTCCTGCTTTTTGTACCTCCTTGCTTTCTCTGGATCTGATTGAGCCCCTCTTGCAGCTGTTGCCACTATCAAATGTGACAAGTGTGCTGGTATGTATTGGTATCAAAATTTGGGTCCATGAACTGTTGGTCAAAGTAAATAGGAAGAGTAGACCTGGGCTCTCTAAGTACCCTTAACTGAGAGCTGGTAGGTGGTGTGGTTTGGTTTCAGAGCTAATAGTCTAGATGTAACCTTCTTTTTGTAATAACTTATTCTTATGTGCATTGGTGTTTTGCCTGCATGTATGTCTGTGTGAGGCTGTCAGATCTTGGAGTTACAGACAGTTGTTAGCTGACATGTGGGTGCTAGGAATTGAACCTGGGTCCTCTGGAGGAGCAGGCAGTTCTCTTAACTGTTGAGCCATCTCTCTAGCCCCCTAGGTGTGGTGTAAGTCTTTAAGCTAGACTACTGCTTATGGGCCTTGGGTAAATCAGCCATTGGAAGCTTCAACCTCTTCACTTACAAGTGGGTACTATCTCACAGAGGTGGTTGTGGGAATTACATATAAAAGAGTTTGTAATAGTACTTGGACACATAGTCAGCCTTGCTTATGCTATCATAATTCTTGGTTTTCATCATTTTTTTTGGGGGGGGTGTCCTTGTGTTTACAGGTGCTTACAGTTCTGTGCAATGTTGTAGAAAAGGGTCCAGCTTACTGCCAGCGGTTGTGGCCAGGGCCCTTGCTCTCCTGTTTGCTCAAAACACTGGTTCTCTCTGACACTGAAGTAGTAGGCCAGAGTTTGGAGTTGCTGCAGCTGCTATTCCTGTATCAGCCGGAGGTGGGTTTGGTTTCCAGTCCCTTGATTAGAAGCCACTGATCTCACCGTGGTGCCCATCTCTATATTTGTTTCTCTGGGCAAGGCTAGCCTATGTGGGCTGAAGGTCAGAACCTTCATTTTGTTAGGAATGTACTGTCTAAGAAGTGGGCTGACCCATGAACTATAGGAATTGGGTTTTAGGATCTAAATGTTGGTTCTTCTGTTCCTTAGGCTGCCCAGGCCTTCCTGCAGCAATCAGGGCTGCAGGCCCTAGAAAGGCATCAGGAGGAAGCCCAGCTTCAGGATAGGATACTTGCTCTCCAGCAGACAGCTATTCGTGGATGACCTGGCTGCTTAATGTCACTCCCTAGCCCCTGTGGTCTGTTTATCCCAGGGTCCCCTATTGTGTTTTAGAAGCTGGTGGCTTTTTATGTACCCGAGGGTGGTCTTGAACTTGGGACTGTCTTGTTTAACTGTCTTAAGTTGGTTAATGACATGTGACACCACAGCTGGCAGCTGGTGGTTTTTGATGAGAAATAAAATTGTATTTTTATGTAAAACTGCTTTGCCTCAGTGTCTGCACAATAAGGGGAGAAGGGAATAAGGATGAGAACATTCTGAAGCAGCACTGTACATAGATAAGCTTTATAAGGAACAGAAGAACACATTTCCCCACACTGTAGCCAGTCTAGTAGAGCCCAGGTCCTAGTGCTCTTGCTCACAGTTTTCAGTGGAGACAATTCAGGCTTTGCCACTCAGCACATTCTCCAGGGCTCTGGATACCTCATCAGCACTCAGGTTGTTCAGAGACACATTCTTCTCTTGGCCAAAAGCTGAGGAAAGGTGATTAAATGAATAACCTATATAATGGGCCACAAATCATAAAGGGTCTTTATTTCAAAGTTGTTAGGATAAGAAAGGAAAGAGATATGGCTTGTGGAACATAGGGCTTCATGCCTACATAGCTAGTTCCAGGCTGGCTATGGCTATACTATGCAACCCTGCCTTAAAAAAAAAAAAAAAAAAAGGTAGTTTTGCTGTGCTTAGCATTAATCCAGTGAATCTATTTGGGAATCCCAGGTGCTACTAGAATTTTATCTGAGAAGAAAGGTGTTTGAGTGATACTTTAAGGTCATTGTAGGCATTAACTACCAAGCAGGGGTCTATCTATCCTTGCCTGACTGTCCATTTTTGGCTGGCCATAGTCCACTTAAATATGTGGCACTATGCACATGCAGTACTACACACTAAAGTTACTCTTGACTGGGTCCTTCTGTGTGCTTTAGGAGGAACCTGTTTAATATTATAGTGTATAGGAGTCTTTGGTTCCAACCAATCTGTAGTAGGATGTGACTCTCTCCACTCCCAGGTAGTCCTTGGGCATGGTTGGAATGATTAAAATTTAATGTATTACCTACCTACTATCTTTTGGTCAACATGTTAAGAAAATATCAGATTGTAATAAATAGAACTAGTGTAATGTAATAGGTAATGTTATTACTGGTCAGGGAATGCCTTACTTTGGTACTGACAATCAAACCCAGGGCCTCTCATATGAAAGGCAATCACCGGCTTTCTTTGTACCTTTAAAATTTTGAGACAAGATTTCACTAAATTTCCCAGTCAGGACTTGAACTCACTTATAGCCTTGGACAGGCCTTGAGTTCATGATCCTCCTGCCTCTGCCTGGGAGGATCTGTAGCTGGGATTTACAGGCTGGCTCAGGAATGTCTTTTTTGAGACAGTAATATAAATGGTTGGATGCAAGAAACAACCTGGATGATGGGAGCCAACCATATTATCAGTACTCTATAGGGAAGGGGCACACAACGTAAAAGCTCAACCCTGTTCTATTCTAGCTGCATAACTTTAGGCGGATTCTATGTTTGGGTTAAGTTTTCTAATATCTACAAAAGACAACACCCACTCACAATAACCACGAAAGAAAAGCACCCATTCATAAGATTAATGAAGACTACTGGGAATGAGGAAAGTACACAGCACAAGCCCTAGGCATGAAATGCTCAACATTACTGAAATTCTCAGTCTCTGAATTTGCACTGGCTAAGGTGTAATTCAGAAGGACCGACAGTGTCATGGGGAGCATGTTTTTTACCTGAAGTCCACTCTGAACTGCAAAAACTACTGGTTCTTATCCAAGAACCGGCCAGGCTCCGTATGTATGTTGCCAGGAATACAGGAATAAAAAGCATCACACAACTAGGCAAATGTGAATTTCCTCATCCGCGGAAGTTCGAGTTTTGGTCTTCCGCCCCCTTTTCCCTTGACGTTGGGAGGCCCCTTCTTTTGTCTAACCCCTATTCTGCGACCCGGGCCCCTGCCTCCGGCGACCAGTACTCACCGTAGCGGGCCCAGAGCTTGGGCTGCACCTCCGAACATTCGCGGATTAGAATGGGCAGGCTGGGGTGCGCCTTCTTCAGCTCCACGTAACGTTGGTGGATGAAATTCCTGCAGGGCGGGAGAGACCGCCGCTAGTGCTAAGGGCACGGACCCCTCCCCCCCCCCGAAGGTCAAGGTCACAACTCCAGGTTCCGAAGCCCACTCGCCTCCCCACGCTACGGCTCACCTCACACCCTGGCTGCCCGGCGAACGCTGGCATAAGTGGATGCGAATCTCCCGCAGCCCCAGCTGGGTACCCACGGCCCGGCTAGCAGCGGCGGCCGCCATCTTCGCTAGCCAAGGAGCGCCCAATCACGACTTTGCAGCCGCCTCAATCGGACCAATAGCGGGCCCTCTAGTCTCCGCCACCGATTGGATGACGAAGGGAGGGGCGGGACAAGCCTCGGTCAATGACGCGAGGCCTTTGTAGCGGCGGTGCGGCAGGACGCTAAGGAAGCCGGAAGGCCCGGAACGCAAAGCACTGGTGGCAAGTGTTCGCGGTGCACTGTGGGAGAAAGCTGGGCGCTGTTGTTTTGTGGAGGAGACTTCACGATTGCCGGCCTTGAGAGACCGCGGCCAAAATGCCAGAACGAGACAGTAAGTCCACCACTCTTCCTTTGCCCGTCGGACTGGAGGTTTCTGCCAGGTGTTGTGTACGGTTGGGGCCGCGCCAACCCTTGGTCTTCGGGAGAGGCCCGGCCGAGCTGCCCCCCGAGTTTCGTTCCGCAGTCGAGGAGCGGCGTTTTGAATTTGTGAGGCAGTCCCACCTCCCTCCTCCCTCCTTAGTGAACCATAGCTGTGCCTCTCTTTCGGGGACTTGGTGTGTTTATTTGACAATGGGAGGGGAGGGGCTCGCTTCGCTGTCAGGCAAACCTCCGAATCCCGACTAGCTGGGGTCACCGGCTGCTGGGCTCTTTCATGCAGTAAATTTTTTTTCTGTTAATTCTCCACTTCGTTTGGGAAAACCCATCTTTATAACTTTTTCTTTCCCCAAGTGAGACGGAAAGCTCGAACCTGGATGGGTTTCGAACTCTTGATCCTTCTGTCTCCACTGCTCAAGTGCTGGGGTGACGGGCGTGGGCCACCACAAGCGGCACTTTGGCCGGTTCCTTTTTGAGATAGTCTTGATTGTGTAGCCCAGATTGGCCTTGAGCTCTTGGCGGTCTTGCTGCCCCAGGTCTCCCTTGTGCTGGGTGTACAGGTGTCAGTCACCGCCCCCAGCTTCTGGTCGCATAGCTTCTTGAAGCCCTCCCATTTCATCGTAACCGCTTACTGCATAACCGCTGCACCTCTTCTTGTCCTGTCTTTTGCTCATTTTTATAATTGCCAGTTTCTGCACGGAACTCACACATTAATCGAGGGATTAATGAAGCCGGGCTGTGGATCCTCCCAGTGAGTTCGAGGCCAGACTACAAGGCGAGTTCCAGGACAGCAGGACTGCTACACAGAGAAACCCTGTCTCCCAAAACAAAAACGAGTGATTAATGTCAACTTTTCTTTTTTTTAATTTAAGGTGAGCCCTTCTCTAACCCTTTAGCCCCAGATGGCCACGATGTGGACGATCCTCATTCCTTCCACCAGTGAGTATTTTGTCCTTGAACCATGGAATAAGTTGAGCAATGAGCAAGAGGGATGTAGGGATAGTGAAAGAATTCTGAATATTTTGTTGGCAAGAATGCTCAAAAAGTTTGTAGAAGGTGGCTTATTGAGAGGAAAACGCTAATCTATGCACATGCTAAATTTATTTTCCCACAGAAAGCTTTATCCTAAGTTCACTTACCTTACCAAGATAGTGTAGTTATGCTTAATTTTGTAACTTACACAGAATGATTGCTTTGGGTGTCTGTTTTTTAGTAAAGTTGTGATTATGAACTGTAAAAATTTTGGACCATTTAGCCCTTTATCCCTGAACTTTGTGAATCAGGAACACTACGTAAGATTATTAGAAGAGAAATTATGGCAGGGAAAAGTCTAGTGTTTGTGTTGCTTTATTACATATATAGAAATTTTTCCTGGTGAAAATTAAGCATCGGAAATGAGAGTAAAATTGTCTTTTGTAACTTCACAATCTCAACCACTTTCGTATTTATTATTACTTTGAGTGTGTGAGTGGGTGCACATGTGAAGATCAGAGGGTAACTATGGGTGTAGGTGTTCGTCTTCCACCTTGTTTCGAGATAGGGTGTCTTTTGTTCCCTGCTGGCAGCAAGATTGCTAGTTCTGCAAGTTTCTGATGATTCTCCTGTCCCCTGATAAGGGTCGGGCTAATACTGCAGACACTTGTACTGCTGTGCGCAGCTCTTACGTGGGTTCTGGAGACCTGAACTTAGGTTGTTGGGCTTGTAAGGCAGGCACTGCACTCACCCAGCTCTCTCCCCAGCCCTCTTTTCTTTTGGAGATAGATTCACACTTTATCCCAGGCTGGCATGGAACGCTTGGCATTCTTCCTCCCTCAAGTCTCCTGAGTGCTGAGATTGTAGGCATGAACTACTGTATCTTACTTTTTAAAAAATTTTTTACTTATTTATTTGAGACAGACTTCAATCTAATCATCCTCTTGTCTCAGCCTCTCAAGTACTGGGATTATAGGTGTGTGCTCTCACACTGTAATCCAAGAATCCCATTTTTCTTTCTTTCTTTTTTTTTTGTAATGCTGGGGATTGAATCTAGGACCTTATACATGAGCTAGGCCCTGGCCCTTTAGGTATAGCTCATGTTTGCTTCAAATTAGCGATCCTTTTGCCTCATTGTTTCCAGCATTTGTCACCATGACCAGCAAGTCCCATTTTTGACTAAGCCTCGTCCTTTATTGTATTCCCAGTTTTAGTAAAGAATTAAGCTCCCATTCCAGCATTCTTGCAACTGTATGAGAGTATCCGTGTTCCAAAATTTCACTCACATTTGAGTCGATAAAACTTCTAAGCTGGATGGTGGTCACACACACCTTTAATCCCAGCACTTGGGAGGCAGAGGCGGGCAAATCTAAGTTTGAGGTCAGGGTGGTCTACAGAGTGAATTTCAGGACAGCCAGAGCAACACAGAGAAACTCTGTCTCAAAAAACTGATCTTCAAAGTATATAAAGAACTCAAGAAACTAGACATCAAAATACTGAACAATCCAATTAAAAAATGAGCTATAGAGTTAAACAGAGAAATCTCGAAAGAAGAATCTCAAATGGCTGAAAGACATTTAAGGAATTGCTCAACATCCTTAGTCATCAGGGAAATGCAAATCAAAACGACTCTGAGATACCACCTTACACCTGTCAGAATGGCTATGATCAAAAACACTAATGACAGTCTATGTTGGAGAGGATGCGGAGCAAAGGGAACACTCTTCCACTGTTGGTGGGAGTGCAAACTTGTACAACCACTGTGGAAATCAGTATGGCGGTTTCTCAGAAAATTGGGAATCGATCTACCTCAAGACCCAGCCATATCACTCTTGGGCATATACCCAAGGAATGCTCAATCATACCACAAAGATACATGCTCAACTATGTTCATAGCAGCATTATTCATAATAGCCAGAACCTGGAAACAACCTAGATGCCCGTCAACTGAAGAATGGATTAAGAGAATGTGGTACATATACACAATGGAGTACTACTCAGCAGAGAAAAACAATGACAGCATGAAATGTGCAGGCAAATGGATGGAACTAGAAAATATTTTCCTGAGTGAAGTATCCCAGACTCGGACAAACATAGTATGTACTCACTCATAAGTGGATACTAGATATAAAGCAAAGTACAATCAGACTGCAACCCACAGATCCAGAGAGGCTACCTAGCAGGGGGGACCCTAGGATGACTGTGGCTTATAATAAGTTTTGGTTTTACCCAATCACTGGGCAAGCTTTAGTGAAACATTTCACTATTAGGATAAGAATTTATACTGTATCAAGCTGATGAAAGAAAAATAAATTAAATAAACAAACAAACAACACAAAAAACCCAAAAATTTAAACTTCTAGTACTTAACATGAGGCCAGACTGGTCTACAGAGTGAATTCCAGGACAGCCAGGGCTACACAAAGAAACTGTGTCTCACAAAACAAAAACAAAAAAAAAACAAACAAAAATTCACGCTTCTAGTAGTTAACAGTAACGTGTTGAAAGTGACCTGTCTGCTTTCATTTGCATTTCCCTTGTTTTAGTAAAGTTAACCATGTGTTTACAGGTCTCTTTTCTATTTCATATTGGCTTCTAATTTAAAAAATCTTCGCAATTTCTTTATAGATCAAAACTTACCAATGAAGACTTCAGGAAACTTCTCATGACCCCAAGGGCTGCACCTACTTCTGCACCACCTTCAAAATCACGTCACCATGAGTAAGTAGCCTTCCTCCTTCCTGTCTGTCCATTTCTGTGGAACTAGAATTTGGTAGGTTTTTGAAAGCCAGTCCTCTTTTAAAGCCTCTGTTTCTGATTTTTTTTTTTCTTGTCATAAAGACTGAAGTTTCAGTGATGACTGAGATGCTCTGGATTCTTATTGTTCCCTTATGAATACTTGTAATAGAGTCACTGTTGGTACAAATGGTCAGATTTCTGGGCCTGTTGTTACCTTGTAGACTCATGCTCTACAGAAGGTTTTTTAGGTGATGTCTTAATGTTACTGTCAATTAGATGTTGATGATGCTTTTTAAAGTTGGAGAGATATAGATATTGATAATATGATTTCCTGATCAATACTGGTTTTTGTGTTGTGTTGTTTTTCCTTTCCTTTTTCTCTTTTACTAAGAATGGCCTGACTATGTAGCCATGGCTAGCCTAAAATTCACTGTGTAGCCAAGGTTGGCCTTGAATTCATAGAGATCTGCTTTCCTCTGTCTCCTGAGTGCTGAGCTCAAAGGTGTGTGCCATCTCTACTGGCTGTTTTTCTCTCTCTCTCTCTCTCTCTCTCTCTCTCTCTCTCTCTCTCTCTCTCTCTCTCTCTCTCTTTTTGAGACATTGTTTAGGCTTGACTGGAATTTACCATGTATTCTAGGCTGGTCTTGAACTTACCCTATTCTTTCAACCTCTGATATATCCTTCAGGCCTTGTGGGTTTTGGGGGCTGGAGCATTACTTTACTATGAGTGAGTTTCTTGTGTCTTCTAGGATGCCAAGAGAGTACAATGAGGATGAAGACCCAGCTGCACGAAGGAGGAAAAAGAAAAGGTAAAGGGATGGTAGAAGATGATTGCTTTGTAAGGTGGGTACTGTTGGTGAGGAAAGGAGTCGAGGACTTCTACAGTAACAGATGGAGTTTCCTACTGTGAAAATATGTTTATGAAAGGGCAGGGGGTAGCAGTCAAAACAAATCGGAGTTGAAAGAAACT